GTCAGATGCGCAGAAAGGCTGCGAGTGCTCGACGAGTCTTGCGAGCTGCGCGGTCAAACCTGGGTGGGGGGAACTGACCGCATCAAGGCGGACTTCCGAAACCTGGGTGAGCACCTCTGACGGTTCTCGCTCCCCATCGAGCTCTTCTTGCCGCACGGCTCTTGCTGTGTGCCGGCACAGAGCTCCGTGCCAGCCTTCCAGCGTGATAGGAACGAGTGTATCGCTTCGACGGATCGACCGGTGCTTGCTTGTTATCAAGACCGATGTGACGCACACAGTGACACATCAGACGACACATATTCATATTCTCCCACCCACCGGGACGCAAAACGCTCTCGACGAGAGCCACAAGAAGCCGTCCGCACAGCAAGCCGCTCGTCGCAACATTCCCACCCAACCCGACCCTATCCCAACCCGACCCAACCCAACAACCCAACCCAAAAAGCACGATTCTGAAGTTGGGCCCTCACTCCGCCAGCGCCCGATGCGCCGCACCAGTCCTCCAGGCAAGAAATTGAGCACGCTGCCTCGAATCGAGTCCTCGACCGTCGGCCTCGATAGCATCGAGGCTGCCGCCGATGCGGAGCATCGAGCGGCGGCTCGGCGCGAGATGCCGGGCGGACCTGCGTGGAGGGAGGCAGCGGAGCGCGCGTCGGCGGGCGGGAGCTGCGAGTTGGCCCTCATCGAACGCGGGCTCGACGACGCCGACGTCATCGCACTCGTCGCTTCGCTGCAGCGGGAGGCGGCCGGCTCCGCTCTGACTGGCAGTCGGCCCATCAACAACGTCACGTCGCTCGACCTGCGAGGGAACGCCATCGGCGACGCCGGCGCGGCCGCCCTCTCCGGCCTGCTGCGCGGCGAGGGATGCGCCATCTGCACCCTCCGACTGTGGGGGAATCGGATCGGCGACGAGGGTGAGCGAGACACCTCTCCCGCGGCTCCGAACCGTTGCATGTCTCACCGAAGGGTCACGCGCGTGTGGGACTTCCGACAGCACACTTCCCTCCCTCTGCGACTGCCTCTTCTGCCGTGTGCTCTCCCGCGTCTCTGAGCTGCCTCTTCTGCCGTCCTCTCCAGGCGGTGCCGCGCTGGTGTCTGCTCTCGCCCGTCCAAACTCGAGCCTGACCAGCCTCGACCTCGGCAAGCAAGGCCAGCCGGTGGGAGATGCGGTCGCCGCCGCACTCGCCTCCTCGCTGCCGCGCTGCGCGTGCCGCTGCAGCCGCGAAACCTCTCCCACAGCTTGTCGGATCAGCACCCACAGCGGCCCTGCACAGGTGCGTGCCCGCTGCAGACGCTTGACCTTCGCTACTGCGGCATGACGGAC